CTGTGGTCCAACATGATATGAGGAGGAGGATGGTGCTGACTGAGATGCTTCCTTTGCTTCCATGGCTTCTGTTTCCAAGTGATCGATGTTAGAATTCCTGCTCCGTGATTGCAGTCATGGGATGTTGTCTATCACATGACGGTGTATGTTTTGACTCCACAGAGTGGGAAGTGACGGAGACAGGATGTTTGTGTTACTGTGTTCCGTGAAGTGGGACTATTGTCCTTCGTTCTTTTTCTCTTTGCTGTCTGATGCTGTGACATTAACATATGAGAGTGCTGGAGATGAAATAGTTAAACAAGTTACCCAATCAGAACCCAGGGGGGAGTTCATTGGGAGTTGGGTGGTTGGTTGGAGTGGGAGTGAATTGGGGTAGAGTCTGTGGGTAGGTTGAGTTAGTGTAGCGAAATAAGCTGAGTCAGGAACAGTTAGGGGCTAGGAAGACAAGTAAATATCTGAGAGGTGGTTCAGTGAGTGACAGCAGGTAGCGGAAGTTATAGGTCTGGATAGGCACCCCATGATTGTAATTGACCGATACCATTTATGAAACCACACACTTGTTAAACTGTAATAACAGAAGCTTATGTTCCAATTTAACCCTGACTGGACCCAGTATTGTACCCAGGTAGGGCCTGGGTGGTGGCAGTGAGAAATAAAGTGATGACACAGGGATCAATAGATGGTGAAACGTCCAGGGACCCTGTGTGATCGCCACAGATGCTAGAGAGAGAGAGGGAGCCATGTTGCAGTGCTCTGTGTGTGTTTATATGTAAATAAAGTAGATTAGCCAAAATGCTGAGTTGCTGAGGTCTGTTTCGCGACTGCACAAACTCTGCAGATCCCTAAGTGTGCCGGTGTCGGTTGGCATCGGTCGCTGTGATGTTCGGGCTGAAGAAAGCCTTTGAAGCTCTTGAACGATCGACCAGGACGGAGGGAACATGCCAGTCTCTACCAGTGTCCTACTCGAGTGTAGGCCGAGCTCCTGACAATCAGTGGTGCCTGGTCTGGTGGGGCCAAATGGAAGGTGTAACCAGGGGCCTAAACAGGTGTAGTCCATGGAAGGTGTAGCTGGTTCAGCCCTCCATTTTCTCTAGTGGATCCACACCTGTACCTTTAATGGCAGAGAACAAGTGAAGCTATTTATCTCATGACGGGGGAAACCCCTTTCAGCCTCAGCTTCTGCATCAATGCACAGAAGCAAGTTCCACTGTGATAAAGAGGGTTTTCGCCTTAGTGCATGGGAGCACAGCATTCATTGACTTATTTTATTCAGTTTTATTTGCTTGTCAGGCTGCTGCTAAACTCCCAAGAGCAGTACCATTTATTTTTCTTAAGTTGGCAATCCTGCTGCTGCCATGTAGTTTATATAAAGATGCCTCAGGTTATACATTTGCAGCAATGTGTAGCACTGGGTTTGGTTTAGGTTGATTAAATTTATACACAGCTTCTTACTTAAAAGCAGGAGCACCAGCCAAAGTTATTTGCAACCCCCCAAAACAAAAATACAGTAATGCCACCATTTCTCCTCACAGGGCTCAGTGCCTTTCAGGACCCCCACATATCATATATTTTCACTTCCTTTAGCTTCCATTCTGAAGTGACCATTAATGGCCCGCCAGATGTTGCTGAACTACAACTCCCATCATCCCTAGCCATGGCCCATGCTTACTAGTACTGATGAGAGCCAGTGTGGTGTAGTGGTTAAAAGTGGTGGACTCGTAATCTGGTGAACCGGGTTTGATTCCCGGCTCCTCCACATGCAGCTGCTGGGTGACCTTGGGCTAGTCACACTTTTCTGGAGTCTCTCAGCCTCACTCACCTCACAGAGTGTTTGTTGTGGGGCAGGAAGGAAAAGAGAATGTTAGCTGCTTTGAGACTCCTTCGGGTAGTGATAAAGCGGGATATCAAATCCAAACTCTTGTACTTCAGCATCATCTGATGGGCCATGGCTTTCCATTCCTGTAGTAGTGCATGCACGAATTTCATAACTTGTTTCTGAGCACCAAATTATCTCCTAAGAAGTGGCTCTGAGATTCCTGAGTACCTTGTCCCCACTGGCAATTAGTGTGGGGATTCTTCCCACCCCAATTCCCCCAAGCAGCGACTGATAGTTCTCCAGCATTCATTCTCAGAAAGCAATCCTCTACTTACAGGCTTCCCCAACCTAGCGCCCTCTAAGCTGTTTTGGCCTGCATCTTCCATCAACTATGGCTATGTTGTCTGGGGCTGATGGGAGTTGTCGTTCAAAATAATTGGAGAGCACTAGGTTGGGAGAAAAGCAATGACAGGCCTGGACAGCATCGTAGAAGCAGAGACATCACCTTGCCAGCAAAGGTCCGTATAGTTGAAGCTAAGGTTTTCCCAGTAGTGATGTATGGTAGGCGAGCTGGACCATCAAGCAGGCTGATTGCCGAAGAATTGATGCTCTTGAATTATGGTGCTGGAGCGACTCTTGAGAGTCCCATGGACTGCAAGAAGATCAAACGCTCCATTCTGCAGGAAATCAGCTGAGTGCTCACTGGAAGGACAGATCCTGAGCTGGAGGCTCCAATACTTGGCCACCTCATGAGAGAAGACTCCTGGAAAGACCTAATGCTGGGAAGATGGAGGCACAAGGCGAGGGGCCGACAGAGGACCAGATGGTTGGATAGTGTTCTCGAGCTACCAGTGCATGAGCTTGACCAGCCTGCTGGAGTGCAGATGGAAGCACAGCAGTGCCTGGCGTGCTCTGGTCCATGACTGGCCCGAAGAGTCGGACACAGCTAAACGACTAAACAACTACAACAACAGGTTGGGAAAGGCTGATCAGTTTTAACAGGTGTCCAATAGAGCATCCTTTTGGAAAATACAAATAGCTTCAGCCTTATATCCAGTGACAAAGTACATGTGACTCTCATCACAGCTGTGAGTTTTCCTTTGTGTGAACACCAGACTTGGCAGCTTGCTGGCTGTTTGGGCTCTGCCTGACCTCAGCAGTTGCTGTGAATCCTGAGAGTTATTTTAGTAACAAAGAAGCTCATTTTATATCATGGGAAATCTATATATCTATATATATATACATAAAAAAACACCCCTGCCTCCATCCGGCTCCAGGAGCAACAGATGGAAGGAATCAAGCACGAGGAGCAAATTTTGGTATAATTGAAGGGCACACCAGATCAAGGTGAAGATGTTTGGTCGTTATTTGTGGTGTGTCTTGGTGGGAATGAAGTGCTTCTTCCCTCGTCTTTTTCTGTTTGTTCTGTGATCTTCATGAGCAGAGTTGGTTGTAGAAAATGCAGGCTGTTTGTACATGCCTTGTTTTCTGCTGCCCCAGAGGGAAGACCCAAACCAATGGATTCATTGAAGATTCCGACTAAACAATAGGAAGACGCTTTTAATGGTAAGAGCTGCTTGACTGGGGAACAGACTACCTCAAAATGGCGGATTCTCCTTCACTGGAAGTTTTTAAACAGAGGTTGGATGGCCATCTGTATGGGATTCTTCAGCTGTGATTCCTGCATCGTGGAGGATTGGACTAGATGACTCTACAATTTTATGATCTAGTTCAGGGGTTGGCAAAATTTTTAAAGCCAAGGGCCAGTCCACTGTCCCTCAGGTCTTGTGGCGGGCCAGAGACGCAGCACCGGGGTGGAGAGCTGGAAGAAGAGGCGAGGGGGACAAGTAGTCCTCCTCCCCCCCCAGCCCCAGCCACTGCGCTTACATTCCTTGGGGCTGCCACCGCCACCACCATCACTGCCACCGCTGCTGCTGCTTCTCGTGGGTAGGCAGAGCAAGCTCATCCACTCCTCTCTCTTGAGAGCCAGTGTGGTGTAGTGGTTAAGAGCGGTGGACTCGTAATCTGGTGAACTGGGTTCGCTTCCCCGCTCCTCCACATGCAGCTGCTGGGTGACCTTGGGCTAGTCACACTTCCTTGAAGGATTTCCATGGAAATTTGGCAGTGCACGCTCTCTATAAACAGAGATGTGCCGTATATAAACATAGCAGGTCTTTATACATTCACCAGCTGAAACCTTATTCCCTTCATAAATGAATATTCCCTGATTGCAGAGAGACAGCCTGTGAATACAAATTATATGTGCATCAACTTTGTTCAGCAAGAACTTTGGGTGAAAGTGAAGCCTTCTGGTGGTGGGGCCAGAAGGCAAGAGCTCTTCCACCCCCACTGGCCTGCTCCAAGCTTTCAGATTGCTCAATATATTGACCTGGTTCAGAGCTATAGAGAATCTATAGCTCAACAGTGTAAGTGCAAAGGTTCCTGATTCAAGCCTGCATGAAGCTTGCTAAAGACTGAATCAGATAAGTGCTAGAGATGCAAAGAGGTAGAGGTGAAAGGAACGTTCTTTCACATGTGGTGGACTTGTAAAAGGGTAAAAGCGTATTGGGAAATGATCCATAATGAATTGAAAAAAATGTTTGATAGTACTTTCCCCCCAAAAACCAGAGTCCTTTCTGCTGGGGATAATTCAGACTGATATTCCCAGGTGTCAAAAAAGTTTATTTATTTATGCCACTACTGTGGCCTATGTTTTGTTAGCCCCAAAATGGAAAACCAGCGAGGTCCCAAGCAAAGAAGAGTGGCAACTTAATCTCTCACAGAATATGCGCAGCTTGCAGACTTAGAATAAGAGATCAGGAAGAACATACGTTTAGAGAAGATTGGAAAACGTTTTTTGAATATACTGTGTACAGCTGAAAGCGCTGGCAGCATTAAGATAAATTCGACAGTGCAAATAAGTTTTGATGGAAGCAATAATGGAATGCTGAATGGCAAAGTTTTTGTAAAATATGCAGGGATTTATGAGATGTAAAATGAACCATGGAAAGAGAAAAGGGGAAGTCACAGATTTCTTAAGGATGTAAAAACGAGCATTTTAAATTGTAAGACAGGAAATTAAATAAAAATTATATATAAAAGGTTCCTGGTTCAATCCCAGCCAGCTCCCTATAACAAATTTTAGAAAGGGGCAAAGGAGGCTGTGTGTTCTCTTTGCTGTTTGGATTGCCTCGTGTGGTGCAGTGTGTCTGGCTGTTAACCAGAAGGTTGGTGGTTCAAGCCCAACCAGGGACGGCTGTGGGCAGGATAATAATAATAATAATAATAATAATAATAATAATAATAATTTATTAATTATACCAGGCCCATCTGGCTGGGCTTCCCCAGCCACTCTTTGACATCTGGTGGGAGGGTGTTCCACAGGGCGGGTGCCACTACCGAGAAGGCCCTCTGCCTGGTTCCCTGTAACTTGGCTTCTCGCAGTGAGGGAACCGCCAGAAGGCCCTCGGCACTGGACCTGTGTCCGGGTAGAACGATGGAGGTGCAGATGCTCCTTCAGGTATACTGGGTCGAGGCCATTTAGGGCTTTAAAGGATCGCTGCATTGCAGGGGGGTTGGGCTAGATGACCCATAGGATCCCTTCCAACTCCTATGATTCTTTGCTATAATGCTGAACTACTCTCATCCTCCTAAAGATAGAACCAATGTGAGCTTCCCTCCTGCATCCACATGGGGAGTTTAAAGCTTTAAGCCACAGTTTCCTGTTACATCTGCAGGAAACTGTGGTTTGTTTTAACCCTATTTAGTGTGAACGAACCAAGATCTAACCAGGGTTTCTGATCTAACGGTAGGGAGATTCACAAAACACTCCCCCAACACACATGTTAAATGGCTGCAATGGGATTGTGTGGGGCAGCCAGTGGCACACACCTCCCAACACCCCACAGGGAAATGTTTCCCTACCCAGTCTGAATGCAGCTCCATATATTGTGACCTTCCATGATTTTAAGTGTAGAACTAGGCTCTCCCAAACCGGAAGGTCTGATAACAATCTATGGCCTTATAAATTGTATTTGGGGCGAGGTGGAGGTTATTGTTTTCATATTGCCTCCTTGATCCTTGCCCATCCTGGCTTATAAAAGCTAGCCGGGAAGGACTGGGCGATGGGCTTCGTGGGGTGGTGAATGCTTCCCTCCGTGAGGGAGCCTTCCCAGACCCGCTGAAAGAGGCGGTTATTAAACCGCTTCTTAAACCATCTTTAGATGCGGCCACAATAGCCAACTATCGCCCAGTCTCAAATCTTCCATTCTTGGGCAAGGTGATTGAGCGAGTGGTTGCTGAACAACTCCAGGCACGCCTGGAAGAAGCGGACCATTTGGATCCCTTCCAGTCGGGATTCAGGCCTCATCATGGGACTGAAACTGCCTTGGTCGCACTGGTTGATGATCTCCGGCGGGCTAGGGACAAAGGTGAGAGCTGTTTCCTAGTTCTGCTGGATCTCTCAGCGGCGTTTGATACCATCGACCATAACATCCTTCTGGACCGTCTTGAGGGGCTGGGAGCTGGGGGCACTGTTATACAGTGGTTCCGCTCCTTCCTCCTGGGCCGTGTTCAGAAAGTGGTGGTGGGGAATGAGTGTTCAGACCCCTGGGCCCTCACTTGTGGGGTGCCTCAGGGTTCTGTCCTCTCCCCCATGCTTTTCAACATCTACATGAAGCCGCTGGGAGAGATCATCAGGGGATTTGGGCTGGGTGTTCATCAGTATGCAGATGATACCCAGCTCTATCTCTCCTTCAAATCAGAACCAGTGAAGGCAGTGAAGGTCCTGTGTGAGTGCCTGGAGGCGGTTGGAGGTTGGATGGCGGCTAACAGATTGAGGTTGAATCCTGACAAGACAGGAGGCGGGCAGGTGTGGAGGATTCCCTGGTCCTGAATGGGGTAACTGTGCCCCTGAAGGACCAGGTGCGCAGCCTGGGAGTCATTTTGGACTCACAGCTGTCCATGGAGGCACAGGTCAAATCTGTGTCCAGGGCAGCTGTTTACCAGCTCCATCTGGTACGCAGGCTGAGACCCTATCTGCCTGCGGACTGCCTCACCAGAGTGGTGCATGCTCTGGTTATCTCCCGCTTGGATTACTGCAATGCGCTCTACGTGGGGCTACCTTTGAAGGTGACCCGGAAACTACAACTCCTCCAGAACGCGGCAGCTAGACGGGTGACTGGGAGCGGCCGCAGAGACCACATAACACCGGTCTTGAAAGACCTACATTGGCTCCCAGTACGTTTCCGAGCACAATTCAAAGTGTTGGTGCTGACCTTTAAAGCCCTAAACGGCCTTGGTCCAGTATATCTGAAGGAGCGTCTCCACCCCCATCGTTCTGCCCGGACACTGAGGTCCAGCACTGAGGGCCTTCTGGCGGTTCCCTCACTGCGAGAAGCCAAGTTACAGGGAACCAGGCAGAGGGCCTTCTCGGTAGTGGCGCCTTCCCTGTGGAACACCCTCCCACCAGATGTCAAAGAGAACAACAACTACCAGGCTTTTAGAAGACATCTGAAGGCAGCCCTGTTTCGGGAAGCTTTTAATGTTTGATGTATTATAGTATTTTAATATTTTTTTGGAAGCCGCCCAGAGTGGCCGGGGAAGCCCAGCCAGATGGGCGGGGTATAAATAATAAATTATTATTATTATTATTATTATTTGTTAATATGGTATATATCTTTGTGTTTTTATATTGCAAACTGCCCTGCAATCTTTGGGTGAAGGGCAGCATAATAATAATAATAATAATAATAACAAAAATTATTTATACCCCGCTCATCTCGCTGGGCTTCCCTAGCCACTTTGGGCGGCGTCCAACAAAATATTAAAATACAGTAATGCATCAAACATTGCATATAGAATAAAAATTTAATCAATTGATGGGCTGGTGGCTGCATTAATTTCGATGGGACACAGTTGGTACAGCATTACACAGATATGGGCTATGAATGATTCAAGAGAACATGGCACACGCGTGTGTATGTGTTTAAATTACACTGTATTAGGCAAAACTTGGATTCTCTCCATCTAGTTTGTAGATGACATTTCCTTCTGCGAGATTTATCAGCAGAGCAAGGCATCCAAGAATCCCCGAAGGAGCCCTGAGGATCTGTAGACAGTGTTGAAATATATCCTTCCTAAACTCCGAAAGGGAGAGGAGGGGAATCTGGCTTTTTACGAGTAATTTGTTAAAGTGATGCTACTGGAGTGTCCGTGGAATCGGGCAAGCGGGATTAGATGGACTTCTCCATATTTCACTTACTTCAGAGGGAGGCAGTGTGGCGTGCATGTACAGTGGTACCTCAGGTTAAGAACTTAATTCATTCTGGAGGTCCGTTCTTAACCTGAAACTGTTCTTAACCTGAAGCACCACTTTAGCTAGTGGGGCCTCCTGCTGCCGCTGTCGCCAGAGCACGATTTCTGTTCTCATCCTGTTCTCATCCTCGTTCTGTTCTCATCCTGAAGCAAAGTTCTTAACCCGAGGTACTATTTCTGGGTTAGCGGAGTCTGTAACCTGAAGCATATGTAACCTGAAGCATCTGTAACCCGAGGTACCACTGTAGTGGGCTAAGCAAATGAATGGTTGATTCAGTATTAAGGGAGATTTGGTGGAGCTGTGGGTTAAACTGTATTGCTAACTGTATTTCAACACACTTCATTTTATTCCCCCCCACAGTGCCCAACAGCTTCTGAAGCAACTTTTGGGGTCCACGTTAAGGTCGTTGGCGACTGGACAGGTAGGTGAATGTTCGTTTAATCTCTCTCTTAACAGACGGTTTTGACCTGAAACCCCCTTTCCTCAGCAGCTTCCATCTAGAGTGCAATTTCAAATCATACGCTGTTTAGAATATGATCCCAAGGGGCTTACCCCCCACCCCCGGTGATTTCTATTGCGGTTGTGCCGATGGCTTCATTCAGCTGTGCTTATACATGTCACTTGGTTGTTGTTGTCTTGAGTCCAGACAAATTGTTCTGATTGTCATGCTAATTGTTAATAATACGGCCCGTGTCTTGGCTTTTTCCTTTCAAAATATTATTTTCTGTGTGCAGCAACCTGCTTGCCTTTGGGCCACATGCGGTGGCTGCGGAAGTCAGTGCTGAAATGTGCATTTGCTAGATAAGGGGATTTTTTAATGCCAGCCGCTTGGTTGGCTTCCAGGTTAGTTAACACCTATGTCATGCTGAGATTACGGAGTTGCTTTCATGTTCTGATATGCTTCTCTCGGGCTGTGTGAGAACGTCACTGGGGTCCACTGGGCCTCTGCAGGAAATGAGGAATTCTGCTTTTAATTTTCGTAGAATTGTAGAGTTGGAAAGGACCCCAAGGGTCATCTCGTCCAGCCCCCTTGCAATGCTGGAATCTCAGCTACAGCATCCATGACAGATGGCCATCCAAACTCTGCTTAAAAGCATCCAAGGAAGGCGAGTCCACAACCTCCTGCAGGGAGGGGAATTCGAAAGGCTGGATAGCAAGGGGAGTATGAAATGAATTTGCTCAAACTTGAGTCATGGGTCAGTGTGTGATGGTGGTGGAGGAGGATGAAATTGGGTAGGGGTGGGACCCACATATATAAATGGATGCCAACAGCATCAGTGGCTGATTGTATTCTCATTTTCCTGATTACTATATGACGCAGGGGTCGGCAAGGTTTATCTTGAGAGCCAGCGTGGTGTAGTGGTTATGAGCAGTGGACTCGTAATCTGGTGAACCGGGTTCACTTCCCCGCTCTTCCACATGCAGCTGCTGGGTGACCTTGGGCTAGTCACACTTCTCTGAAGTCTTTCAGCCCCACTCACCTCACAGAGTGTTTGTTGTGGGGGAGGAAGGGAAAGGAGAATGTTAGCTGCTTTGAGACTCCTTTGGGTAGTGATAAAGCGGGATATCAAATCCAAACTCTTCTTCTTCTTGCCTGGGTCGCTTCACTTCAGCAGAGATTCCTCTGTGGGCCAGATCGCATGCCTCCCCGTGATTTTCGGCGTCTTCACAGACGCAATTTCCGGTGCTGCGGAAGCAAGTCTCTGCGCCGTGCTGCGCTGCGCCGGTTTAGCGTAGTGCGTGGGGACTCACCGAGTGGGTGGCTTGGTTTGGGGGCAGCTTGTGGGCTGGTTAAACAACCCTTGTGGGCCGCTTGTGGCCCATGGGCCTTAGGTTGCAGGCCCCTCTTATTATCAGTTGCAGTGAAGGGTTGTTTTGCACACTTTTAAGCTCTAATTGAATTGTCATAAACTGTGCTTTTGCTCTGCTGTTCAGAGTA